GTTTTAAGTGAAGAAAATAAAAAAGACAAGAAAAACAAGTGGCCCAAGATCATGGAAATCCTTATTTGTTCAGTTTTTAAAATAATTTAGGGAGAAGGCATATATCAGTAAAGATTTTGCCTTTAAATCGTTTCACTTGGAAAACATCAACAACTTAGCATTTAAACGTGATTAACCACTTGCAAAGGGACTGAAAACATCCTCGGTATGTGTGTTCCCAAAACACACATTTTCCGACTGAGACTTTTAAACTGTCAGTGCCCGAGAGACAATGCCATTGACGTGTAACTGGCACTGGGTCGGCCAGTTAATTTTTCCCCCGGAGAGTGGTTTCGGGCGACAGAGCGGCGTCCTGGTTTCCCAGGTTGTTGTACTGACAAACTGCAGTGGGGTAGAGTCAAGGGGCCTGACAAAATCTCATTAATCATTTTAAATTAAATCCAACCCCCCTGTCCAACCGGGCCAAGAAGAAAGCCATTTTTGTTCCTAAACCAATGAAAACTTCCTCAGGAACGATTTGGTATCTTTCTCTTGCTAGTCTTTAATTTGATGAGACAAAAATAAAATAAAACAATCCACTTTTCTAAGCTCAGAAACAAAACATTTGTCCAGATATGATTTAACAGATCGACCAAGTGTCTTTTGAAAATAAAACAAATTTTGAACAAAAATACATGGAAACATTCTGAGGGGAAACTACACTAGTTAAATTAGGAACACAATTTATCTTTGTTTTCTGAATACTTCTATGAATTTATTTTGTTCTAAGATATGTGATCCTGAGTAATATATAAAAAAGTAACAAAAACAATCCGTCGTCCATAGTATTTTGGTGTATGATACTCCAGTCTCTTCTTTCCATTCATAGGTTTTGCTGCATTTTACATAACTGTAATGCGTGTGTATGTGTATAGTTTAAAATTCTTTTTAAAGTTTATCATTATTTATAACAACTTCCACATATTATTCATAAACATCATGGCATCATAGTCATATGTCATGAGGATGTATTCTGGCTTATTAACCTGTGCTCAGCGTAATATCTGGTACCCAATATGCTCTCAAATATTTGTTCTATGTTAGAACATCGCCGGGAGAGTTTGGGGCATTCCAGTTGCTTCTATCCTTTTTGTTTTCTTTAATGAAAAACAACGATGTGACGAAGAGTGTGGGTACTGCCTTTCCTCTGTTTTGGATTGTTTCCTTAGGATGGCTTCCCAAAGTGGACATATTCGCTTACAAATGCTTGAAAAGGAACTGTAGAGGCAGTTTCGTTATTAAGTGATATTTAAGAAAAAGTTCACTTTAAACACAGGTAAAACAGACTCCAATTAGAATAAACAGGTTATTATTTTAAATGTATAGACTTCCGAACGTGCTTACTCTCACTGAGCACCAGAGCAATTAATAATAGTGTCAAGCACGGGAAAGATCATTTCAGAGCAGTAACATCAATGACTCAAACTCCTAAAATTAAAAAAAAAAGACAATTTTCAAGTTACAAGGATTTATCCAAATACTTAAAATTAGACATCCTAGAGTGATGAATTTCCATCTAGAACAATACATAGGTTGAATCTGTGTTAGTAATTTTTAAAGCGTCGACTCTAGCACAGTCTGATTTGTAAACTGTGTACACCTGAAAGGTCTGGGTATTTTTTTTTTTTGAGATGCAAATAGTAAAGCCATCTTTCTACATACTTATACAGAAACTAAACCAGGACTACAGTAATTCATTCAGGTTTATTGAGAAATTGCTCTGGGCCAAGAAGAATAAAATTTTCACCTGCAAGAACTGAGACATTTGCCTTGGAAGGGGAAGAATCTGAGAACACTTTAAAGAACAAATACTATTTCAACAGGTAAAGAGTGGGAAGAGGTTACAAGTTTTCCAGAGAGAAAGCAGAACAGATGAAATTAGCATTCGTTTTAACAGAATGTACTTAGAAAAAAGTCCTGCTGATGGTAAACTTGGAGGGCACTCAGAGTTTTCAAGCATTTTCTCCCCTTTCCTTTCTTATCTTAAAAAAATATAATCGGCATTGTGTTTTAAAAACATAAGTGGTGATCGCGGACAGGAAGGACGCACCAGCAGCTCCTAGTCGGTGTGTTCTGGGCTGGAAACAGCACAGCTCTTACTGGGAAGGAAGGTGTGGACCGACAGATGCAGCGGAGCCTAAGAACTCTTGTGGGTTTCGGCAGAGCTCGGATTATACACTGAGTAGGAGGGTATCTGGTCAGAGACAACACAAAAACCATTAGCACTACTGTGATTTTCTAGCCTCAAAGAACTCAGCCCCAAATGGAAAAGGTAGACTCAAAAAGGCCTGAGTGTAGATGAAGGAAGACAAAAATCTCCTTGGGCCGAGGCTCATGCACAGGTCAGCATCCTTCCTGACACTCCCCTTCCCTAGCTCTTGGGATTCCCTCCTTCTCGGGCCCTTCTACAGTTTTAACGAACCCTGTTTTTTTCTGGCCTCTTTTTAACCTAACAAAACCTAGAATGCTGCCTTTCCCAATTGTTCCTTTTTACTCACCATATTCCCTTCAGAAGTGTCTTTCCCCCGCTTCACCTCATATACTCCAAATGCTATTGACCCCCCAAATTACGTATCCAGCCCTGATTTTATAAACTCTAGTCTGACTCTCTAGTGTCTGTTGATACTTTCGAATTCAAAGCATCCCCAAATTGGAATCATTATCTTTTCCGTTTCATTCCATCGATTGCTTATTCTATTAGCTTCCTTTGATTAGCGGACAACCAGATCCTGTTAGCAACTTTTCTCCCAAATCACTAAATCCTATTGGTTTCCAGTTTGTGTGTGTGTGTGTGTTTAAATTCATGCCTCCTCTCTATACCCTCTGCCATGTGCCTAGTTCAGGCCTTATGACAGAATCTGAGAGGCTGCAAGGCCCAGGGCTGCCTATGCTCTGCCATACTGTACACGCGGGACTTGAACATCTATGGGTTGTGTTATCCTGGGGGGGGGGGCCTGGAACCAATCCCCCAGGGATACTGATGGACGCCTCTACTGCACAAAGTGGGGAAGTCAACTGAATACTACTGACTTCTTAGTGGAAACAATGGAGGCCAGAAGACAGTGGAATAATATCTTTAAATTGCCAAAGACAAAAAACAAAAACCAAAAAAAACAAAAAAAAACCCCCAAAAACCTGTCAACAAAAATATTCTTCAAGAAGGAAACCAAAATAAAAACATTTTCATATAAAAGAAAACTGATACTTATCTCACTG